AGATGGTGACGACAAAAGTTGTTGCAGCATATACACGTAAGTAAGAACCATCAAAAGTTCACATTATAAACCACGAAGGCTTTGTATATGCAGTTCTAGATATATTAAATTTAATTAAACTAGATGAAACTGGGGTAGAGCAGGGGCGGAGCTCCCTAGGGGTCAACCTAGACCCCACTCACCCAACATTTAAAAAATATCTTTATTTTTAGTGCAAAAATTTTTGACGATGGACATGTTCTTCATGAAATCTAGATTTTACACAAAAATTTTTAGATAAAATTCAATCCGGAAATCAGTTAAATAAATTACTGAAGCATATTGCGCCAAATTATATACTATTGTATATATAATCACAATGTTTTTCAATAATTTATTTAACTGTCTTCTCGATTAAATTTTAAACTGAAATTTGGTGGACATAATCTGAAGAACATGCTCCAAAGATTTCATCAAAAAAAATCCACAAGAACCTATCCACACGGTGGCGGCCGGAGGGAGGATCCTGTCTGAAAAGCTAGATAAGATCTTGTTCCTATATACAATAGAGATCAAATATAAACTCCTCTTAATTTACAAAGTACAAATTCATCCTGGACATCCGATGAGTAGATCTGAATGATATAAAGGCATTGTGCCATTTTTGTAATAAAATCCAACTTTTTAAAATGCAACTCTTTGAACATTAATATGCAAGTATGCAATTGCTATTTTATGGTTAAATAATACTACCTCCATGGTAAATTTAATTACGGAATATTTTCTTTTCGTGTATGCAGAGCATGTCATTGCTTTGGTGAGACGTTGCTGAATGTGATTCCTATATTAACGTGTTGTTGCTAATTCATCTGCCATTTGTAACTCTTCCTCCATGAGGATTGAGGCTGTCTTCGGTCTTGACTCTTGACCTCTTGTGATAACATTTGAACGTATTCAATGCTAAGTATGTTAGTAATGATTGTTTGTAATTACAATCTTATATGTATTTATATATATATAATCCATATTTATGTTTCCTTAAACTTTTTAATTATAACACTAAATGTGTGTTAGTGGTTGTGACATAACATATAAGGTCCTATATCATGGTGTCACTAGTACCGTAGCACGTATATGAGAACTTGAGAAGAGGGTTTGACATATTGGGTGTGTTAGGCATTCAACGGTTAGCGGTTAGTGGTTAACGGTTAGCGGTTAGCGGATAGCGGGTTATGTTAGCGGGTTGATAATAGTGGATTCAGTCAGCGGGTTTGACTAGCGGAATAAATTGGCGGGTTATTAGAAGATGTTTGGTAATTTAGAATTGTTTGGGCATAATATTAGTAGAAAATGTCATTTTCAAAACGTCAAACTCAAGACTCCCCTATTAGCAGCGTTTTCATTTCAACGTTTTCGTCAAAAAACGCTAGTACCAAACCGCTATTTACCAAACAGTTTTTTCATTTATTGAAAACGCTAAAAGTGGTCAAACCGCCATTTTTCGGCCGAACCCCCATTTACCAAACACCCACATTATAATGTCCTAAAATTGAGATTTTGATCGACATGAGTGACATAATATACAATAAGGATTTGTATGTTCATTGAATTTGGATCCTCTCCAGTAACTGGAGAGTTCCAGTATGAGAGATATAGAGAGGAGAGAATTAAGGGTGGGGTAGGTTGGTGAGTAGGATAGAGAAAAAGGTAGAGATAGATAGGAAGTAAAAAAGAAATGGAGGGGAAATGGAGAAAAAGAAATGGAGAGGAGCTCATTGTGTTATTCTTTTACAAAGTGCAGTTGTGTTATAATACTACCTCCGTCCCATTTTATGTGTCTTAGTTTGACTCGGCACGGTTATTAATGAAGTGGTTGAAAAAGTAAAAGTTGTGATTGAGATTTGAGTATAATAAAGTGAAATGGGGTATACCACATATTTCTTTCCAAAAAAGGAAAGAAGACACTTATTTCGGGACAACCCAAAAAGGAAAGTATGACAGGTAAAATGGGACGGAGGGAGTATGTACCTAGTTCTGTCCCTAAATAAAAGACCCGGTTACATTTCTGTTGTAAGTTTATATTTTTTATTTTATATATCTAACTTACATCAAATTTGAATTATTTGAGATTTTATAAAACTTCTAATTTATTTTTGAATATATAAATTTTATTTGCTAAAAGTAATTTGTGTATTCATATGGACCAATTAACTTTATCGCTAGTCAAATATTGTAAACCGAAATAGATCCTTTTAAGGGGTAATTTTGTGGGTTAATTCTATGGGTTAATTACCTTGATCTGTGTTTATTGATTACTGCTTTTGCTTGGATTGGATATGTGCATGATGATTTACCGATATCGTACCGTTACCGAACCGAAACTTTGGTATACCGAAATGCGGTATACCGAAACTTCGGTAAGGTAACGGTATATAAATTTTGCATACCGAAAGTTTTGGTACGACAAAGGTATGGGAGAAAATATTCGGTATACCGTACCGAACCACCCCTCGATCTGATCACTCCAAGTAGTGTTGGATTCGGGTCGGGCCACCTGGCCCGTGGACCGGCTCGGCCCGCTACTGTGCGGGACCGGGACCGGCCCGGTTCTTGGGTCCGGGTCGTTGCCCGAACTGGGGGGGGGGGATCCAAGCTCGGTTCTTAGTTTTGGCGACCCAGTCGCGTCCAGGCCTAACGACCATATTTTTTTAAAAAAAAATCCTTTTCAGCTCTAAAGAGCCGTTTGGCTCTTGACCCACATCCCAAACGGCTATATAACCGTTGGGTGGGTACTAGGGGGGTCCTGGGATTTTGGGGGGGTGGGGGGTGGGTGTGGCTCTACCTATGCCGGAGATTCCGATTGATTAGTATTTTAGAATTTATTATAAAATGTATTTCATGTTTTTAATTTTTTCTTCAATTCTCAATTGTAATTTGTAAACTTGTACTACCTTCGTCCCACTAAGATTGGGACGAGAGAAGGTGGCACAATTATTAAGAAAAATGAGTTTGTGTGGTTGATATTAAATTGATAAAGTAAAAATAAAGTAAGAATGGTCTAGAGCCACACAATCTTTACCAAATTTGGTATGGGACAATCTTAGTGGGACTTCCTGAAAAGGTAAAATGGGACAATCTTAGCGGGACGGAAGGAGTAGTTCATATTTCAATTAAATATACGTTAATTTTTTATATGTAGCACTTCTCAAATTAATTAATTGATTATTAATTATATTATTATTTATTAAAAAATGTATTTCATATTGTTTTTTTCTTAATTCTCACATGTAGTTCCTATTTCAGATAAATGCACTTGAAGTTTGTTTTTAATTAGGGGTGGGCGCGGTCCGGAACGGTCCAGTAAATTAGCAAAACCCGTAATGTAACGTGAGGTTTCTAACGGTTCGGTACGGTCCGGTTCTAAGGATAGAACCATTCTGTGTCATGTCGTTTCAGAACGGTACAAAACGGTTCGGTACAATGCCAAGCAAATGCCGAAACATTTGAGTAAATTTTGCAATTAGTAGATATCATCACACGAGCCAATTGACGCGAAATTTTGATGAAAATACAAGAAAGTGCATACTAAATACTAGAAAAGATTCAAGAGGTTGACAATTTTGTATTTAAATTCAAAAACACTCAAACAGTGAAAGAAATTTAGTAAAAATATAGCAAAATGACAATATACAATCGTATAATATTATCTTTATGAAATTCACGAGAACATATAAAAAGAATATCGTTAAATTATTGAACAGAGTACAAATATTTAATGTTCTTCTTCTTTGTTCTAAGTTGAATATTAATTCTAATATAGTTCATAGTTGAACCATAAGAGCTGTGATTCAAACCATATTAATTACGGAGTACATTACAAAACTACACAAATATGATACAACAAAAATCATATACACTACATTACTAGAAATTAATTGTCATTAATGTTTTTTAAACTTTGGCATTCTTTCATTATATAACAAATATAACATAAATTAATTATCTAAAAGGAAAAAATAATAATATTTATATAACACACACTTAGCTATTTTAAGGATGCAAGAATTGAATACATACTTGGGCTATAAAGTTGTTGGTCTATAAAAGATATTTATGGGTATGGAAAAATATATAAAAAAATCTCAAAGACATTATTTTTAAACGGTTCGGTCCGGTATTTTTCGGTTCTCGAAATCTAGGACCGGTCCCGTACCCGTTTGAAATGGTACGATTTCGGTTCGGGATAAAATTTTATAGAACCATTTAAATACCCGATATTCGGTTCGGTACCGGTTCGGTGCGGTTTTTATGCCCACCCCTATTTTTAATATTCATCACTTGTATGAATAAGTAGCAAAATAGGTGGGAAAAAATTGTTTGAACCGACCCGGCCCGGTGGGTAGCCTTATCCGTGACCCGGGCGGGTGACCTGACCCGAACCGGCACCGGCCTAAGGGCGGGCCGGTCCCGAACCGGCCCGAGTCCAACACGAACTCCAAGTCTTGGCATCCTCGACTGGACGAAAATCCTAGCCGAAGATGTAGACAATAGCTTTCTGCCTTTCTCGTCTAACTAAGTTGTTTAAAAAAAATTATGGAGCCGAATTTCACATGTGTTTACTCATTTAGTATTTAACATAATAACTTGATAAGCGCCAAACGGCCAAAGTGATTGAACTAGATAAGTTAATTAGAATTTTTTATTGAGCAAATCTACTAAAAATGACACTATATTACTAGTAGTGTTTTCAATTTCAAAAATAAAATTCATTAATATTTTCCAAAAAATAAAAAGTGACTTGCTACATTAATAACTCAGCATATTTAATATAAGAAAAATCACAATTTCAGTCTCTCAAAGTGCTCACATTGAAAGTTCCCGTGTTTTTTAGTTTGTAAATGTCACTCTCATAGTCTAGGGATTGATCTTGGACATCCACAGGTCCAATGGTAAGGACATCCCACATTTCATCATGTAAAACACACAAATGTGCCTGCATCCTGATTTTTGAGACATCAAACTTCTGTACTGTAACCCAAGTTATTTGCTGAAGTGTTATCCATGTCAAGTATAAAGGTAATCAACAAAAGCATTAAAAAGTGAATCTTTGGTAAGATAGTAACCCATAAGATTACAAGAATAAGTAGGCTCTAATACCACTTGTTGGTACAGGTTAAACATATGGACAAATAGACTGTCTTGGAATTATCTTCTTATTGATGGAATCTGTTCGTCAACAGGATTTGGACTTAATCTAGCACATTTAGTCCCGCAGCAGATTTGTCAAAGTCTGATTCGGGAAGCCTGGAAACACGCTAAGGAAAATTTGTCTTCGAAGTCTCTTAAGCGAAATCTGTTAAGTCATAGAGTCCACACTCTTGAGAGTTAGATTCCTAAGTACAGGAAAGTAAATGCAGTAAGTAATTGACATTAGTCTGGTTCCTCTATCCATTGTTCCACTAAACCCTTTGTAACTTCTAGTTACAAGGGTAGTGTCCTTAATACCCAAGGATGCAGCCCCCTTCTACCAAAAGCATTTTATTTCACTTACAGCAAAAGGACAATCATAATAATTCTAAACTGACTTGAAAAGTCGCCTTGCCATATTTTGATGTTCCCAATATTACACACCTATGGAAAAAGAGTTCACGTTTTCTACCCAATAGCAATAATGTTTTACGCACTACGCGGGGGTGCTGCAGTCTCCTCCCTTCCACACCATTGCTTCTAAATTGCTATAATTATTCAACTTTTTTTAGAAAATATGCAGTTGGTAATATTTATGTATGACAATCGCCAACAGGAAAATCCAGGTCTGTTGTATATTTGGTTCTGAAATCCTACCATTGTCACACGGCATAATAACACCCAATGTCAATTACGTGAAGATGAAAGATCACAAACAGGTCACTGTGTCCTTCCAAAAGCCAAATCTCAGTAAGAGGAAGAACTAGGACAAACGAGGCATGACAGTAGAGCTCTGAAGTTTGTGATTCACCAAAACTTGGTACTCGAAATTCGTTTGAATGATTCGCCAACACTGTGAGGACAAAACATTACTCCTTTCGTGGTAATCCGTGATATGGCAACCCAATGGATGATATGATATTATGATCCATTTAGTAAGGTCAAACTGCTGAAAATATGAAGGTAATTATTATATTCATGAAATATATGTAAATTTTCCAAATAAAATCAAGAAAATAATACTATTCAAATGAAAATACAGATAGAGTTGAACTTTTCATCCATTTCAAAACATTACGGCAAAAAAATAACTATTTCACCATTTTTTTACTAGCTGCCCTTTCAGTACACACAGTCAAGTAAGTTAGCATTTGCCGTTAAAGAAAGAGGAGAGAGAGATTTCAATAGAAAAATAAGCACAAATAGTTAGATGTCATCAAACCTTTTATCACATTGTGTCAATAATGAAAGATGTTTCAGGTAACCAGATGAGTCTTTGGCCAATCACACACTCTTGTGGCAAACATTAGAGTAAAAATCTCTTCACTTGCTAAAGATGAATTTCAGCCATGTACAAAAACAGTAATTCGACAAATGTCCTGGTAGGTCTACCTGCAAACATCACAATGATAAAAAAAGTAAGCAACTCCACAAGAATGTGAAAGGCTCTAATGCAATATCATACATGAAGAACAATACACACATCCTGAGTTCCAAAGTCAGTTAAAAGAAATGGAGACATGAAAATGAAAAAGAAGGCCCATCAACTTACACTGCTCCAAGTGAAGGAATACCCATCAGTAGAGAGCAACCAGTTACAATCTTTATTTTGCAAAACATCGAACACATCCTCCTCAAAATCTACTATCTCTTTGGGGTCAAAATTCCACCTCTTTTTCTTCTTCTGATGAGTTCTGCTCCTCTTTCGTTTAGTTCTACTTGAAGACCTCAAATCTCCATCAGACTCGCTCTCTGCCAGAATTTCATCATGATTTAACAATGAGTACCTTCCACACTTGCGAAACCCTATTCTGTTACAAGCAAACAAGGATTCCCAAGAATCAATGGTCTGATAAGCTTCTAACAGCTGATAATGCATAGCCCAAGCCTGCAAACCCAGCAATTTCATCATCTCTAAGGATTTCCTTTTAGCACACTCTTTAAGAATTGTATCAAAGCCAATATTTTCGAGTGTACAAATCTGGGAAGCAATATTTTTTATCTTTTCTTTTTCCTCCTCACCAGCTTCTTCGCGGACTAGTAACAAAAGTTGACGGCTTTGAATTGTAATGGCATTCAACAAGAGTAGCTGGTCGATGGAATTATTGCCATGGCACTTCGAAAGCATCATCTCAAGCCAAGAAGATGGTTTATCACACTTCACGGTTTCCACACATGGGTTAAGATATCTGGGGATCAAATCTAAGAGAACAGCTAGTTCTTCCTCCTCAAGCGCAACAAGAAGGTGATGACATAGAGTTGAAAAAGACTCTCCCTTCAAAAAACTATCAATAATTTCCCATACATCCTTCATATTGTCTTTATACATTAGGTCAAGAAACATTTCAATGAAAAAATTCTTATCTATTGACAAAATTGCACCATCTTTTAATGACTCTGAAAAGTCAACAGATGACCAGAATTCAGGTACATATTCAAGAAAGTTCTCTACGGTTCTCTCAACATCAAGATCAAGAAAGTAATGAGGGTTTGTGGCAACCATGGCTGGTGATTTCCCATGTTTGCCCCTCCACTCAAGCTCCTCCCAACAAATGTCACGATTCACAAAGGCGAATTGGGAAAGTGCCTTAGCTCCTTTACCATGCATACCAACAGACCCTCCAAAGTTAGAGAACCACTGCAGTATATGCTTTGAGTTCCCTGCAAGATTCATGATTAAAACATAAGAGGTCAACCCATAGCCATCGTTGTGTTTATTTTAGTAAAAGTGTTCATAAAACATACTGACTAAAACATGGGTAGGCATAACCACACAGTGAAGCAATGCAAACAGGAACACTTAGCGAAAGGCGTGCATCCATAAAAACATGTCATGATTTGCTCTATTATCATCCAGTCTAATGTACGATAGTATAAAATTTCAATTGCAAGATCATTTTCTCCTATCAATTGTACATTGTACAACAAATTATCGAAATTTTGAATTTTATAGTTGCGATAAATCTGACATAACAACTAAATAAATTTTAAAACCTTTTTATCCAGAAAGAAGCAGATAATAATTTTCAGTAGAATGACTTGCCTTTGAAGAAATCTTCTAGCAAGTAACTTTTCTTTGAAATGATTGGTCCAGCTATGTGTGGATGCTTGTCAAAAATTAATTGTAAAATTTGTGCCGCCAGGCGCTGCTGTTTGACTTTCTTTGACCTTAACAAGGCCAGAAATAGTTCCTGCTGATGAAGGGGAGTCACAGAACTTATGTCTGCCAGTGAGTTGCAAAGCCAAAGACGAGCTTCAGATAGATGCCCAGATGATATCAAAGACCATAAAACAGATTCTAGCTCCTTTAGATGAGATTTTGTCTGATCAACTAAATTATTGTCTCCGTTCTCATCCGAGGGGGGTATAGTGAGATATAATTGGAGCATCTTAATCTGAAACATCAAATACCACAAAGCCTTAGCCCAAACTTAGATGCCATTGCTATTGAACGACAGCACAAAAATGCAAGTTTTCACAAATTGTTCGGACGGATTAATAAACTGACATCCTATTAATTCAAAAAAACAAGTCAAATCAATGCCTTAATTCACCAAATCATACATAGGTACCACAAACATCTCAAATAGTTCGAAATCCAAATAACAAATACACACGTAAGAACTGAGAAAAAACCTATTCTTTCGCTAAATACGAAGTATAATTAATTACTTTTTGGCAATTTCGCTTGCGCGTAAGAACTTGCATCGCTGAAACAATGGAGACGACTGCTTACCAGAATCAGGGACTTGGAAAAGCGGGTGAGGAGAGATGGCGCAAATTGTTGAATGAGATTCTGTCCGACCCGAGAAAGCTATGATCTTGGAGTATGTATATGGTACAACAGGCTGTATGGTGAGCACAGTACAGCCGGTCCGGGAACAGGCCCAAGAGAAAAATATCAAAATAAATCAGTGGCATTTTTGTAATTAATGTATAAACCGCGGTTTCTGCTAAATGAACATCAGTGTACTAGTAATGATCAATAGTCCAATTTGAATGAGTATCATGCGTCTAATAATGAGCACCGTGTTATTACATCCAAACTGATAACACAACTAAAAAATGGTGGCATTTTCGTAATTCCAGTGAAAAACGTGGTTTTCGTCAGATGAACATTAATACACTTTTAATGAGCATCATGTGTATTCTACTGAGCACTAAGAGTCGAATAATGAGTATTGTGATATCAACTTCATATATTGTAATTCACTTTCTTTTTCTTATTTTTTCTTTTATAAAATCCCATTAAATTATATCTATAATCAGTTCCTATGTATTTCAATATGCAAATCTAATGTAATATAACTTTTGAAATATGCATTGTTATGACATTTTAAAAATGAGCACATCAGTACCAAATGAGCAAACGTAACGTACAAATGAGTATTGATATGAAAATCGTAAGTTTTATTAGTTGAGCATCAAACCTCCCTCTATTGAGTATTAGGATTATGCAATTTAGTGAGCATTAGACATGTTTTGTTGAGCATTGTAAGCCTAACAATGAGTGTGGTGATCTACTTTAAATATTTGAATTCACTTTTTTTTTCTTATTTTTCCTTTTTGAGAACTTATTACTAAATATTATCTATAATCAACTCATATGAACTTCAATATGAGAATCTAATGTAATATGCAACTTTTGAAATATGAATTGATACGACATTTTAAAAATGAGCATAATATGAGCACCAATTAAGCTTAAGTTACTTAAAAAATAAGCATTGATGTGAAAATCATAAGTTTTTAGTCGAAATTCAAGACATTTTTATTGAGCATCAAAACTTTTCTATTGGGTATTAGAAACATGCAATTGAGTATCATGCATGGTCTGTGCTCCTATATCTATAATCAACTACTACATGAATATAATTTAATATAATACTTTTAAAATAAGCATTTATATAATATGTTAAAAATGAGCTAACATCAGTACAAAATGAGCATACATTACTTACCAAATGAGCAATCATATGAAAATAATAAGCTTTGTTAGTTGAGCATCACGACTTTTCATTGTAAATCAAACCTCCGTTATTGAGTATCAGAAACATGCGATTGAGTATCATGATTTGTGATACCATGTACACAATCTCTGTTATGCTAATCTAATATGATACTTTTGAAATATGCATTAACATGACATTTTAAAATGAGAATAAAACAAGTACTAGATGAATATACAAAACTTATAAAATGAGTATCGAAAGATTAAAAAGCTCGTTTGAATTCTCTAATGTGTTCAAATGTTCAATTTTGCACATATAGTGACAAATATAGTAATGAAAAATATAGTGATTATATATTATAAATAATTTATAATCATTAGCTCTCAAATTAAAGTATAATCGGATTCATTTTATAATGTTTACTCATGCATATTTATTTTACATTATACTCATTTTAGTATAACGCAAAACTCATGTGAGTAATTAACACACAATATTTAATAAACCGGTAAATATTCATCATCAATTAAAAATAGAAAAATACAACATTAATACCTAAAATATTTTATAATGCATAAGTAAAAAAAAATTAAGTTAGAATGTTGATTTAAAAAGGGAAAAAAAATAAAACGGGACATTTAATAATATTTTGCATAACGTTTTATATAATAAATTTCATAATAATTGAATATATAATTAAAAAAAATGGTTGCTAAAGAGAGAGAAAAAAGAGGATAACAGACGTACAATAAACAAAAAAAAAAAAAAAAAAAAAAGAAAGCAATAAGTAGTGCGGAACTACCCCTGGGAGGCCTGCTAGGGTACACACTTTTTGTACACAAAAAGTGTACACTCGTCTGTCCCCCACAGACAAATTGTCTGTCTCGCGAAAGACAATTTGTCTGTGGGGGACAGACGAGTGTACACTTTTTGTGTACAAAAAGTGTGTACCCCAATCATTTTTCAAAAATTTAAAAAACAAAGACAAACATGAAAGCAACGCTGCGGAACAACCAAACGCCGGTGGAGTCCAAGAGCACATGCGGACGGAAAAAGAATAAGCTACAGTGACATTACCCTATTTATAACCCTGAAACTTAACTAATTACAAAAATGCCGGATGTACCAGGAGCATGGTACAGCCGGCTGTATCTTATAATTTACCATGATCTTGTGATTCTTGAAAGTAGGGGTGGGATTTTGGAACCGGGAACCGTAGATCCGATTGGAACCGAACCGTTAACAAAATCTAGGAACCGAACCGTTAACAATTAATACCTCATTTGTAGGAACCGAACCGAAGCGAGTTATAACGGTTCGGTTCCTGGTTCCTATAAAAAATATGTGCATGGAACCGTTAAGGGACCGTTATTAAACAAATAAAAAATAAAATAATACTCCCTCCGTCCCTGAAAATTGTTCTCTGTTTCCTTTTTGGGCCGTCCCAAAAAATTGTTCTCCTTTCCCCTTTTGGAAAGTTTTTTGTGGCTACAATTCATTTACCTTTTTCTTACTCAACCACAATCACACATTTCCACTTTATTCCCACTTTCTTAAACTCCGTTCCAAGTCAATGCGGGAACAATTTTCCGGGACAGAGGGAGTATTAGTAGTAGTAGTAGTAGTAACAACAACAATAATAATAATAGCAATAATAATTACCACCACAACAATAATAATAAAACAATATAAGATATTTAACTAACAATTCTAATTTAATCAACGAAAACGAAGTAATAAATATTGTACATGAGGTTAATATAATACTATGCACATTAAACTCATTTCTACAAATCAAGTTTTGTCTCATCACATAAATTTTATAAATACAAAATAACTCAAATAACTTGTAGTTGATTGCACATATTTTACTTTACTATTTTCATGATATTTCTAATTATTAAATTTATTATGAATCGATAGAATGTAACAATGTTTTTTTATATCTATACATGCGAACTCAATGTATTTTTTATGTTTTGAAAGACTTGAAGTAAGCGTCATATTCTTGCTACTATGATGACGAGTAACCTTCATCGCTCCCACACTACAATGCAAATTCAATGTATTTTTTTATGTTTTGAAAGACTTGAATTAGGCGTCCTATTCTTGCTACTATGATGACGAGTAACTTTCATCGCTCCCACACTACTATGATTTTTATGTTTTATTTATTACATGAAAATTTAAATCATCTTTTGTTCTATTAAGGGTTCACAATTCATTAATTAAGTTTGAGCTTTGATGTTTGAAGTGATTAGAGCTTCAAATAAAATTTTAATACTAGTGTTTTGAATTTTCGACGTCTTTATGTTGTTTGTAGAAAGTAAATTATGCATTAATTCTTATTGAGAAAAACTTATTCTAGGAACCGGTAAAAGGAAGAACTGAACCGTTTACTACCGGTTCGGTTCCATAACGGTTTTTGATTTTCTATATAGGAACCGAACCGATTTCATTAGTTAAAACTTTTATAATGGTTCCACTCGTTTTGAGTAGGAATCAAACCGGTCCCAGCCCTACTTGAAAGAATCATTTTTTTCAAGAAACGGGCCAAAGTATGGAATAGATCGCTCAACCGACCCAATAGATAAGATCATAAGACGAATGAAAAGCCCAATTAGGCTAGATTTGTGTGGGCCTAACCCCACCCGTGTGTTCTCAACGTTTTTCACGACTCAAAAGCTATATTGCCAAAGTGGGAAAAGTCTGCACGGAAAAGCACTCCTCTAGTGTAGGGGTGTAAATGAGTCAAACTGCTCGCGAGCTGCTCGTGGATCGCTCGGAAAAAGCTCGACTCGAGTTCGGTCATATTAAGCTCGACTTGAGTTCGGCTCGACTCGAATAGTTAACAAGCTCTATTCAAGCCTATTTATTTTAGGCTCGTGGCTCGCGAGCCGGTTCGCGAGCTTTTGTGTCATATTTTATATATAATAAATATATATGTAATAATTATATATATACTTTTTTTAAATATATATTCTAATTTAAGACTATTCCATTTTTAATATTTATCATAGAGTATATTATAATAGTAATAATTTCAAAAATAATAACATGTGTGTAGTATTACTATTATGTACTCTTAATATTTATTGATAGTAAAATAAAGAATACAAATGTTAGTAAATTAGAGATAAACTAAAAATGAGAATGAATTAGTACACATATAATATTTTTAACTTGAGTTCGAGCATCTTATTCGAGTTCAAACCTACAAAAATTAATTAGCGAAACCTGACCTGAGCTCGAATCAAGCTCGAATGAAGCTCGAGCCGAGCTCGGCTCGAGATCGAACTCGAATTATTTAACTCGTCCAAGCTCGAGATCGAGCTCGAGCTCGTGAATTCTTATCAAGCTCAAGCTCAAGCATACCCATGCTCGGGCTCGGCTCGGCTCGTTTGCACCCCTACTCCAGTGATTGAATTTAAGCAACCCCTAAGACTTCCCACCTTCTCATCTCCACAAGAATCAGAAAGGGAAAACGCGCATATCTCCTGCCGTAAGGTTTGACCTTATCATTCTTCCTCAATATCAATTTATTGTCCTTTCTAGCATCCATTTCTATGTGTACATGTTTATTATAAAGTCTTCTTCTTCTTTGGACCTCAACAATTTGATCTTGATGGGTTTCTGCTCCTTAACGGATGCGCGATTTGGAAAAGTTAATAGAGGACAATGCATTTTGTGAGGAAAAAAACGAATCTTTAATTAAATTTGTACTGGAAATATTGACCATAGATGATCAGTGCAATTTACAAATAAATTCTGGTTTCTGATCCAGAAAAGTTTAGGTTTTGCGATTGTGGCATTGTTGCAGCCGACTTGCAGGATATACTTAGGGTCAGTTTGGA